TAAGGCTCTTTGAGGGGAATCCTCTGTGATACTCCCCAAAACTGTCACTCAGTCACATTCGGGAAATTTCAGTCCAATGTCCAATGCATGATGCACTGAGGGAACAAAGTGTGGAAGCTGGGGCCAAGTCATGGAGGACAACTAAAGGGTGATGGATTCCACCGAATGGTAACAAAAATATTCCGTAAAATATGGTGCACATGATCTTTTTAAAAATGTGTCTAGAAGGTGGCATGGTGGCTCAGTGGTTAGTACTGCTACCTCACAGCACCAGGAACCCGCCAGGATTCCACCCTCGGTGTGGAGGGTGGAGTTTGCACATTCTCCCCATTTCTGCATGGTTTTCCTCCAGGTGCTCCGGTTTCCTCCCATAGTCCAAAGATGTGCAGGATAGGCAGACTGGCCATGCTAAATTGCCTGTAGAGGTCAGGGATTTGTAGATTAGGTGGGTTATAGGGGGATTGGTCTGGGTGGGATGCTCTGAGAGTTGGTGTGGACTTGTTGGGCTGAAGGGCCTGTTTCCGCACTGTAAGATTCTACAAGACAGCAAAGTAACTCTCTTAATGGACTTTGCAGTGAGATAGAGTTAAAGTCTGATTATTGAGGTGACTTTAGAAAATTGGACTTCATTGAAAGAAAAGACTTAATTGTGAAACAATAAATTTCTTTATATCAGAATGCATTCTTTGTAATATTAATAATAATTATTAATTCATTGGAATATTTACATTCTTTGTTGTGAGACCATCCTGCCTTTGGATCTGTTTGAAGCCTATCCCAATCTTCTGCCAAAAACACCGGGGATTTTTTTTATTAAAGAGAGAGTAGTAAGAACTGCCGATGCTGGAGTTACAGATAACACTGTGGAGACTTCCTAGACAACAAGGTGTAGAGCTGGATGAACACAGCAGGCCAAGCAGCATCATAGGAGCAGAAAGACTGACGTTTCGGGCCTAGACCCTTCATCAAAAAAGGAGACTTCCTTCTTAGTTCTGGGCTCACGGAGGTGGCAATGTGACCTTTCAGTCTTTGGAACACTTGGCTAGCCTTTTCGAATTGCCAGTGCCGTAACGTTGCATTTTTGACCCAAGGACGACTTTGTTAAATCTGTCAGGTCATGATCAAACATGCAAATAAGAAGTTTGGACCCAGTTTTATTTTCATACATTTACATGCTTTCCCGCTACACAGTTGGAGCAATATATAGTTGTGTTCAGTGATACAATCTCTTCGGTGTTTGCCTGGAACAATGTCGCTCCCGCCTATAACACACACCGTCTAACTTGATACCACGTAAATCGCGTGGTTCTGTTGGATTACCGCCCAGAGACTGACACGCAAGTAAACTTCCTTCATAGTTCTGGGCTGACGGCGGTGGCAATGTGACATTTCAGTCTTTGGAACGCTTGGCTAGCTTTTTCGAATTGCCAGTGCCGTAACGTTGCATTTTTGAGCCAACGGCGAATTTGTTAAATCTGTCAGGACATGATCAAACATGCAAATGAGAAGTTTGGGATTGAGCAGAATGTGGTTTTACTACAGTTCAGCTTCGGCTCCAAGTAGACGATACGGCAGGTTGGTCACTTCGTCATTTTCAGTCCCAGAATATCTGCCCCACCCCGGGGCTGTTCCCAAAGGGACCTTGCCCCAGTGTTGTAAGAAACCGCCACCGTACGGTCAGTCATTCATAACTATTTCTTAACTAATCACATGATTTACTGTATCCACGCACAACACAAATGGCATTTAACGTTGCATTAATTGGAGCGACGTTTCCCATTTCTGTGTAAAAGTGAAACAGAAGGTCATTTCCACTCAGTTGACAGTCATATGCAGATTCGGTGAAGGCTGGATGGATTTTCAGTGAGAAAGTTACACATGGCGGTAAAGATAACCTTTACCAAGTTCGACTTTGCGTGGACCCTGGCTGGTTTCTCGCTGTACTTCGCTGACGTTGGGACCGATCTTTGGGTTGCTGCGGTGTATTTCAACGACAATGAATTTACCAGGTTTGCTCTGGTTCTGGCGGTGATATTGCTTTCCGCGCTGGTGCTTCAGAGCTTCAGCTGGAGTTGGTATCAGTATGACAGGGAAATTCTGCAGCAGCGGGACAATTCCGAAATACAGCATTCCCACTATCAAAGCTGTGGCAGCCGCTGTTCCTGGCTGTGTGTGCTCCATATCTTTCAGCTGGGGATGCCAGTAAGGTAGGTACTTCTGACCCATACAATCCCTACAGTATACAAGTAGGTCATTTGGCCCATCTAGTCCACGCCTATCCCCCCCCCCCCAGCAAACAGCATTCCGCCCAGACCCACCCCTCCTGTCCTATCCCTGTAACCCTGTTGGTACCATGGCTAATCCACTTAGCCAGCACATCCCTGGACGCTGCAGACTATATTTGAGAGGGAGAAGCTGGAATCAGTTGTAATGGTGTTACAATTGAGTAAAGGTAACTACAAAGGCATGTGGGAAGAGTGGGCTTCCCTGATTGGAAGGTGAGCCAAGAAGGGAAGAGAGTGGAACATCAATGGCAGGCATTTCTGGGGATAATTCAGGAGGCACAGCCAAAATTCTTCCCAAGAAAGAAGAATCACAGTAAGGGGAGGATGAAGCAACCCTGGCTGACAAGGGAAGTCAGGGTCAGCATAAAGGCAAAAGAAAAAGCATATAATGTGGTGAAGATCAGCAGGAAGCCAAAGGATTGGGAAGCTTTTAAAAACCAGCAGAGGATAACTAAAAAAGCAATAAGTGGTTGGGAGATGAAATATGAGGGTAAGCTAACTAGTAATATAAATAACGATTGCAAGAGGTTTTTTTTAGATATCTGAAAGATAAGAGAGAGGCAAGAATGAGCATTGGACCACTGGTCAGTGAGGTTGGAGAAGTAGTAATGGAGGACAAAGAAATGGCAGAGGAACTGAATGGGTACTTTTCATCAGTTTTCACAATGGAAAATACCAGCAGCATACCAGAACTTCAAGAGAATTGGGACAGAGGTGAGTCTAGTGGCCATTATAAAGGAAAAGGTGCTGGGGAAACTGAAAAGGTGGATCAATCACCCTGACCAGTTGGACTACACCCCAGAGTTCTGAAGGAGATAGCTGAGGAGATTGTAGAGGCGTTGGTGGTGATCTTTCAGGAATCACTGGAGTCAGGGAGCGTCCCAGAGGACTGTAAAATGGCTAATATAATACGCCTATTTCAGAAGGGAGGGAGACAGAAGACAGAGAACTATAGGCCTGTTAACCTGACCTTGGTCATTGGTAAGATTTTAGAGTCTGTTATCAAGGATGAGATTGCATAATACTTGGAGGTGCATGGCAAATTAGGGCTGAGTCGTCGCAGCTTCATCGAAGAAGGTCATGCCTGACAAATCTGTTAGAATGTTTTTGAGGAGGTTGGAAGTAATGAGCAAGTTAGACAAAGGAGAGCCAGTGGACATGATCTGTTTGGATTTCCAGAAGTCCTTTGACAAGGTGCCATGCAGCAGGTTACTAAATATGGTAAGAGCCCAGGGTGTTAGGGGCAAGGTACTGGCATTGATAAAGGTTAGCCTACTGGCAGAAGGCAGAATGTAGGGATAAAGTGGTCCTTTTTGGGACTCATGGAGTTCTGCAGAGGTCACTTTTGGGATGACAGCTATTCATGTTATACATTAATGATCCGGACGAAGGAACTGAGGGCATTGTTGTAAAGTTTACAGATGGCATAAAGATAGGTAGCAGGGCAGGGAGGCTGCTGAAGGACTTAGACAGGCCAGGAGAGTGGTCAAATAATGTCAGATGGTATACTGTTTTGGAAAGTGTGAGTTTAGGAAGAATTGGGGCATAGACTATTTTCTAAACTGGGAAAGGCTTTGGAAGTCAGAAGCACAAAGGGACTTGGGAGTCCTAGTTCAAGATTCTCTTAACATACAGGTTTAGCTGGCAGTTAGGAAGGCAAATGCAGTGTTAGCCTTCGTTTCAAGAGGGCTAGAATACAAGAGCAAAGATGTACTGCTGAGGCTGTATAAGGCTCTGGTCAGGCCTCACTTAGAATATTGTGAGCAGTTTTGGGCTCTGTGTCTAAGGAAGGATGCGCTGGCATTGGAGGAGGTTTACTTGAATGATCCTGGGGTTGAAGGGCTTGCCATATTAGGAGTGATTGAGAACTCTGGGTCTGTACTTGATGGAGTTTAGAGGGATAAGAAGGAATCTGATTGAACTCATTAAATGCTGAGGAGGCTTGAATGAAGTGTATGTGGAGACGTTTCCATGAGTTGGACAGACTAGGATCCCAGGGCATAGCGTCAGAATGAAGGATTGCCCCTGCAGAACAAAGATAAGGAGGAATTTCCTCAGCTAGAGGATGGTGAGTCTGTGGAACTCATTGCCACTGAGGGCTGTGGAGGTCAAGTCATTGAGTGTGCTTAAGACAGAGATAGATAAGTTCATTATTAGTAAGGGGATCAAGGGTTACAAGGAGAAGGCAAGAGAATGGTGTTGAGAAAAATATTAGCCATGATCAAATGGTAGAGCAGTCTTGATGGCCTGAATGGACTAACGCTGCTCTGTATCTTATTTCCTTTGGTCTAAGAAAAGCAATTTATAGAAATCTGCAAAGGAGGACCAAGAAACTGATAAGGAAAGGGCAATTAATGTATGAATGTAATCTAATAAAAACAGACTGTAAAAGCTTCTACATGTATTGTAGAAAGGAAATGTTTGGCTGACAAATGTGTGTCCATTAAAAGCAGAGTCATAAGAACTTGTAACTGGTAATAGAGAAATGGTAAAGAAGCTAAATAATTACTTTGTGTCTGTTTCACCGACGAAGATGCAAGAGACCTCCAGAATTAAATCCAAGTGACTAGGGAGAATGAGGACTTGAGAGAAATTAGTGTTAGTAAGAAGGTCATACTGAAGAAATTAGTGGAGTGAAAGTTGATGAGTCTAAGGATTTGATATTCTACATCCCAGAGTGCAGAAGAAGATGGCTTTTGAGATAGTCAATGCATTGGTGGTCATCTTCCAAAATTCTATGTATTCTGAAATGGAATCTGCGGTTTGGAAGCTAGGAAGTGTCATTCCAGTATATTTAAGGAGCTATAGACCCATCAGCTATACATCGGTAGTAGGGGCACTTCGATAATGACGATCAAAGTGTGAGAAGTCAGCATGGATCTGTGCCTGGCAAATCATGTTGGAGACAGTTGAAGTTTTTGCAATAAAATTAATAGAAAGGAGTCAATGAATATAGAACAGAGTTGTGTGCAATATTCCAAATGTGTTCTAACTAAAGTTTTTTTTGTACAGCTGTAACAACTTGCCAACTTTTATATTTGATGCCCCGGCCGATGAAGCCAAGTGTGTTGTATGCCTTCTTGACCATCTTATCTACCTGTATTGGCACTTTCAGGGATCTGTGGACCTGTCCAGATCCCTCTGTATGTCAATGCTCCGAAGAGCTCTGTCATTTATTGCAAAATTTACATCTGGATTTGATCTTCAAAGTGCATCAACTCGCATTTTTCCGGATTAAACTCCATCTGCCATTTGTCTGCCCAAATCTATCTATATCCCACTGTATCCTTTGACAATCCTTCTCACTATCTGCAACTCTGCTAATTTTGGCATCATCTGCAAACTTACTAATCAGACCACCTACATGTTCCTCCAGATCATTTACATATATTGCAAACAGTTACTCAACTCCATTCCAAAGAGCACTCTTCTGCTACTACTCTCTGTCTTCTATGACCAAACCAGATTTGTATCTATCTAGTCAGCTCACCCCACATCCCAAGAGACTCTTAACTTCTGTACCAGCCTGACATGGGGTACCTTATCAAGTGTTTAACTAAAGTCCCTATAGACAACATCTACTGGCCTTCCCTCATCAAGCTGTCTTGTCACCTCCTCAAAAAACTCAAGCTGGTGAGACATGACCTTCCCCACACAAACCCATATGGCCTATCTCTAAGTTCATTCGTTTCCAAATGTGAATAAATCCTGTGTCTCATCATCATCTCCAGCAGCTTCCCACCACTGATGTCGGGTTTACCAGCCTGTAATTACCTGGACTATCTATGTTTCCCTTCTTAGACAAAGCAGCAACATTGGCCATTCTCCAGTCCTCTGGAACCTGACCTGAGGCCAAAGAGATATCTACAAAGATATCTGTTAAGGCCACAGCTATTTCCTCTCTTGGCTACCACAGTATCCTGCAATAGATCCTGTTTGGTCGTGGGGACTTGTCTACCTTTATACATTTGAAGATATCCAACACTTCCTCCCTCATTTTGTTGACCTGCCTAAGAGTATTCATACACCTTTCCCTAACTCAACATCCCTCATTTCTGTCTTTTTGGTGAATACTGATGTAAAGTAGTCATTAAGGATCTGACCCATTTCTTCTGGCTCCACACATAACTGCCCTTCTTTATTCTTTAGTGGGCCTACTGTTTCCCTAGCTAACCTCTTGCTCCTAATGTATGTATAAAATGCCTTGGGATTCTCCTTAAGGAAATAACTCCACAGAAGTCAGTATCATGTCACCAAGTCACCCTTTATTTACATGTGGAGAGTCCATGACACTGCTCCAGCTTCCTCAGAGCCAGCTGTCCGGGTGAAGAGAATATCTGACACTCCTGTTTATATCTGTCAGCCAGGGCCCCCTGATTGGGCCAGATTAACAGCCCCAGTCAGGGAACTCATACTGTATGAGGTCCACCTGGCTGACCTTGTTGCAATCACTATATCCCCACTGCTCTGTGTCCTAGGACATAGGCTGAGATTTTTTGTAGCTCATCCTTGGACTTTTTAGCATCAGGTCGGGTTCCTCCAACTCTGACTCTCATACGGGTGGCATTTAACACACAGTAGCTCGCCTCTTGCACCCGGACCGTTTCGGAAGAAATTCATCCTCTTCTGCAGGTGGCAAAGGTGTCGAGGCAGTGACATTTTTTTTCATAGAATCCCTACAGTACGGAAACAGGCCCTCTGGCCCAACAAGTCCACACTGACCCGCAGAGCATCCCACCCAGACACATCCCCCTATAACCCACCTAATCTACACACCCCTGAACACTATGGGCAATTTAACATGGCCAATCCACCTAGCCTGCACATCTTTTCCACAGGTTGGAGAACTGTGAAGGCCTGCTTTGAGTCTCCATCAGACTGGTGAGGAAACAGTCAAAGGGAACATCAAGCAGTTATTTTTT